GGGTATTAGTGCGGTTTCAACGTTTCATTGCGAAGGAACTGTGTAAAAAAAGGACTTGTCCCTGGAACGGCCGTATTTGCTCACACCAGCGTTTTGTAGGAGTTCCGCGATATCGGATGCAAAAGAGTTGGCTGCCAGCTTTACTTATAACATTTTTTCGCTATCGGATTCATTGCATTGCATTCAACGCGCCGTCGTGTTGGCGGAACTAATCGGCTAATCGCGAAAGCTACCAGCCTGCGATCTCGCGGCGCTGCGCAAGTCGGAGGCGTATGGCGAGTCGACCTCCGAAGATCCGTCGTCACCGTTGTCTTGGAGAGTGTCCATCAGCGCATAATCTGACATCCCCTCGGGGGTGACGACACGGTTGTCCGAAATTAAGTCACAATTTCAACATAAGGGCGAAGAAATGAATGCGATAGCAACAACTTGGCATGTAACGTTGAGAACGGCAATCGAAACGCGCAGCGCGCTGCTCACGCACAAATGACACACGATAACAACATACGAGAGCGAACAAACAACGTTTACCGCTCGACACTTAACCTGCTGATTAAACAAAAACAGACACGAAACGTAGTCACAAGTACAGATATGAGTGCGAATAACAAGTGCCCTAGTTGTTAGTTCGCTGTGTTTGAAAAGCGCACTCTTTTCGCAGACGGCGCCTGTCCAGCGAGCAAAGTGATCTTTGTGCACCCGGCAACTAAATGCAATAATTCCGGTCGAAGTTGAAGGCCGCGATTCTCCCCACCGAAAGACAGGCGCACGTGCACAAGCATCTCACCCCCCCCCCCCCCCCCATTCGCGGGGCAAAGTACGGGTGGGAGATAAGGGCGCCTCGACACATCTTGACGAGCTGGGTGCCGAGCGTGGGCGTTTTTTTATTTCTTTTTTTTATTCAGCTTTCATATATATACATATACCCGTACACACATATGTTGAATGACGGTGGCGGCGGCGACAAAAACCAGCTGAGACTGTTCATATAATTGCCATTACAATAAAAAAAGAAAGCAAAACTGAAAGTGGTCGGGAGCCACACCATGCACGCACAGTAAAACTACATGCGCGCGCACAATGTCAAATGTTACGGCAACTATATAAAAAGGGTGGCACTGCGAACGCACAAAAGTAATTTTCTTTTTTTTTTTCTTTTTTGTTTGGAGTGAAAAAGCGGGCACACCCGGGCATGCTCCTGCGGCGGGGAGAACCGCGGCAACGCTGGCTCGTGGGGTGCAGGTCCGCCTGCCTGTCTCGCGCTCACCCACTCGCAATAACGAGCGCTCGCTCTCGCTGGGGCGCTTCGTCAGCGGCGAGGCAGGCCGTGGAAGATGCATGCTCATACCAAAATACCAAAATGCGCAGCGAAATTCTTAGATTGCCCGTAGGGAAAATTCATTATATCAAGGTTGTCTCCCGCTGTTACTTTGTTACCTAGAGGTCGCAAATACATGTTCTTCTATGGAGCAACAGCGGGCAATAAAAAAAATTTATTATATAGAGGAATTTGTTATTTGGAGGTTCGTTATAAGCAGGTTTAACTGTAGTACGCTTGATGCTGAGGAGATGGCACGCGCTATCATCATCAACAGCTGGAACGAGCAGACATCATTACGGCAATTTTCGGGGGTGCGATAATTACTTGAGGAACAAAAAAATCTTATTTTTGTTGGGTGATGTGGGGGGTGCGAGAATTATGCGAGTGTGAAGATACGTGAATAAATACGGTATACTTTATCTATATATCGCCATACAGAAGAGCTGCTCCTTATTTTCTTCCACCAGCACATCCGCGTTTCTACAGTCGAATCTTGATAATTCGTACTCGAAGGGGCCCGAAAATTTGTTTGAATTAAAGGAAGTTTGAAATAATGAAAGCTTAATAAACAAAGGGCTTTCCATGCAGTGGTGCATGTGCATTGAGCCAACACACGAGGGCGAAGTTTCAGACTTGCATTTATTCACAAATCACAGGACATCCGTTATTCAGACTTGCATTTATTCACAAATCACAGGACATCCGTTATTAATTGAAATAATCGGTGATGCGCATCTGCACATGTTTGCCTTGCAGCGAGTCAATCAATTTCGCATGCAGCTTGCAAAGCATTTCTGCATTCTCCTGGCAAGAGAAGTTGCGCGCAGAAATGTCCAGCACCGACACTTTCAAAAGACGATGACAACGACGACTGCTTAGCAGAGCCTCTCCGCTATGCAACCGCAGCATGGCCAGCATGTGACGAGAAAGGAGGAGCGTCTCCATGCGGAGAGAAGCAGATGCAGATCGACATTTGAGAGAAAACCAACACTCCACTGCCAGTTTTTTGTTTTTCTCTCTCTCTTCGCACGCGTCCTTGAAAGGAGAAAAGTTACGTGGCAGGGATGGGAAAGGGGGAAGTGTGAGAGACCCCCCCCCCTTCGAGGCGCAGAGCCTTGCTCCTGCAAGGGGCAAGGCCTGCAGAAGGTAGTGTCTTCTTCCTTTCCTTCAACCACACATTCATTCAACCCAGCCGCAGCTTTCTTTTTTGTCCTCTCTCTGTTCGCGCGCGGCGTTGTAAGGAGAAGGGTCTTTACGTGGCAGGGACAAAAAAGGGAGAAGCTTGACACGGGCACGTCACAGATCGGCATTTGAGAGAGAGCAAACTTTTCACCGCAGCCTTTTCTTTCCTTTTCATTTCCTTCGCCCGCAGTGTTGAGGTGCCGCAGGTGCGGCCGCGGGATTGGGCGGGGTGCTGAGAGGATTTTCGGAGCGCGGTATGTTCGAATGAACCATCGCAAGATATTAACGACTTGGGTGACTGGAGACCCCTGAAACATCTCTTGCACGCCTATGCACATACAGATGGAATCAGTCTTGTCTAGAGCATCCAGCCGGCCTCTCAAGCTGGTGTTTTGTTCAAAAATATGTAAGAGAGACGCCATCATACTACCAAACATGGTCGTACTGCCCCTTGTACTGTACTGTAAGCATCAACGGAAGCGTGTAGCTAACGTGATGTAAAAGCCACAGCCAACAACACTGTCGACAGGCACGCGCTCCTCTGCTCTAAACAAGTGTGATTCTATCTGTACAAAGCAAACGGGACTGAATAAACCTCTAAAATGGCGCGACGATGGTGTGGCCGCCTTGCGATTGAGGCTCAGTGCATACCCTTATACGGCCGCTCTAGAAAGCAAAGCACTTTTCGTACAGTCTGTTCGTGTTGAGAACACAAGTTAGAAGGTAGACCAGCCGTAACTAGTGCGTGCACCAATGGTCACACCCTTAAAGTCGAAGTTCATAACAATGCCCCCCTCCCCCCACCTAACGTTCCTAGCTCGATCTTTTCTGTCCCTTGGACATTGGCGGCGTGTTCCTCTCTGCTTGAGTAACAACTGATGGGAGGCCTGGCACGTGGGGTGATGTTATTGCATCAACTCTCAGTGCAAAGGAGATAGGTCGGCTCTTATTTCTGGTTTAGCTGCGCTTGTTGCCCCCGATCGCATGCTTTCACTCGCCTGTAAAACACGATGCACCGAGGGATGCTATTATCGATTGGGTCATTACACAAAACATGACAGCCATTGGCATAGCCGGGCGAGAGAGAGAGAGGGGGGAGAGGGAGGGGCACATCGAAAATGTGTCCTTCTCCCCTCTGAAATTTTTTTCGCCATGATATATATAGCCCAAGATAACCTTTTGCCTGCCCCTCCCCCCTTTATATCAAAGTGTAACCCCCCTACAAATTTTTAAAAAATATCTGGCTACACCCGTGGCAACGGCAAAAATCAGTAGAGATTGTCTATATAACTGCTATCCCATTAAAAACAAAATGGATCTTGCCTTCGAGTTGTCTTAGGCGTATGCATAAGTACCCTGTGATATTTTTTTTATGCACTGTTTTCTAGCGGACACGATAGGGGGTTTTCGGAGTATAACTCCCTGGCCGCATAAAATATGGCTCCAAAAGGAAAATGAAATTTGTTAAACTGTGAAGTTTCAGCACAGAGATGAGTGCCGCAGAAGGGTGGCTTTGTGAGACTAGCTGAATGACGTCATACTAAGCCCAGCAGCTCAATCAGTCATGAAGAAAAAGAAGCTTTTTTTCGTTCTTGAAGTCATCCTAGAGAAATGCACTCAGGACTGTGTGAGTTTCTAGCATTGTACGTCACAGCGTTTGTCTACCATATCTTGTGATACCCACATAGGTGAAATTATGTTGTTAATTCATGATGTGCAATTTTATTGAACCAGCATTCTGTTTATTCGCTACAGAAATACTCATTGAACAAGTTTTTCCAGAATGTTCAATAGCATGACACCATTATTCTTGCATTATCTACTAAAATAGGGAGTGCTTCTAAGATAATTGGCTCTCTGAAATTCTCAAAGAATCTAAATATTTCTAGCTCCTCACAAGAGCCTCAGAATAATTTTTGTGTCCTTGAATGTAAATGCAACTTGCTTCTCCTCCAGGATTTGAAGTTAGCTGCTCCATATTGCTCCAATGTGGAAAACTTTGCTGCTCCAAAGTGCTCCAAAATGAAAATATTGCTGCTCCAAAAATTGCTCCAAATTAGAAGACCTGCGTGGCATCACGGCTAGAAAACTATAACAGATAGCTCAAGACCGATTTCAGCTATGATATATGCACAACAAACCACAAGAACTTGCGAAATTTCATCACCTGATCTCCGTAAATAACAAGAATCGTTTTCTCATGAACATCCCCCTTTAAGCTTTTCAGAGTCTTCTTTTTTGTTTTAGCAAAATCTGGCCCTTGCTTGTTTTTCTGAGCCACAGTTTCTTCAGAAGCACTCCAAACAATGTACACTTAAACAATCTACTGCCCGCCAAGCTTGATTTTATGAAGAGTTACTACAGCAAAGCAAAAGCAGGCACTCTGCAGTTGTGATGCAGAGGTCCTCATCAAGTGCATGCTGTGTGATAATGATTGAGCGAGTAGCTGGTGATGTGTGAGTTCATGATCGGAAGGAAAACTGTGCTTTATGTGCAGTATGCGGTGTGCGGTACAAGACACGCCCGGGCCTGTCATATCACTATGCGCACAGCCACATTGCAAGCAGCAGTGGAACTAGCAGCACAGCCACCAGTGCTCCGACGGACCACCATCCTCCTCCAGCTGCCACCCAACAGGTGGGTCCATGCAGATGCTCTTTGTTTTTCTTTAAAGCAATAATGAAGTTGTCCTTGGAGACATGCTAGAGGTAAGCATACCTTATTTACTTGCACCACCCACATGAGCCAGCTCGCCGGTAGGTGCATAAAGACTTTGAAAGCTTTAAACTAGCGCGCTCGCCTGTGCGGGGAGCGCAGTCATATGTAAAACGGGCTGCAAGTGCTAAGTCCTTGCTTCCGACCTAGGACTTCCCCCAAACTGTACCCTGTACATAATAGCGTACCCATACGCCCAAATCTTTTAATGGGTCGGGACTGTTCAATGTTTCTCTCCCTCTATCTCCCCATCTCTTCCACCATGCGAACGCACCCTTACGGCATGGTATTCTGCATCAGAGGTATGTGTGTAGTGCCAACTGTTCCCCTCGTTTTCTACGTCCAAGCTGCAGCGCGCATTTAGTTGATTTCAGAAGTGTAATCTTTGCCATCCATTTGTCGCATTTCCACTGTTCTCTTGCGATTGATTATATATGCGGTAAAACTCAAGCTCGCTGTTCTAAAGTTAGCCAAGGAAACCGTACCGCTGCCAAGCTTTTCAAGGTGTGGCGCTCGACACTGGAGAAAACAGACAAGTGCATGTTTGCTACTAGAAGTTTCCTTTCGTTGAAGAAGAGGATGGCCACCAGGGGGCCAGGGAGTTCGGATGTGCCTCGCATCAGCTCCGCGGAAAGTTGTTTGGTCTGGTGGAAATTGTGCAGTTACAGCAAACAACTCCTATAATCGCCTGCCTGAAGTTCTAGGGATCATCTAGACTACGACTTCAGGACTGTGAGTACGTTTTGGGACATTTTATGGCTATTTTGGTGTCGACTGCGTCTCCGCCCAGCAAAGCCTAACGCTAGCGGTGAACAAACGCGGCGGCTCGGCGGTGGCCGACGCCCCCGGCGTTCGCTTCAGAGCCCCTTTGTGGAGACACGACGGCAATGGAGGTGACCGTGGAGGGTACTGAAATTACTCCTGAATAATTTAGAACCGCTGACTAAATCACGATAGTTGGAAAACATGTTAAAGAACTGGGTGACTCCGCTAGAGGTGACAGACAGGGACGCCAAGATGGCAACGCCCGCGCAGAAAGTGGAGCCGAGCCCGGCGAAGACAGGAAGAAGACGGCGGCTGCGAACGCAGCATACAAAAAGCTGGGGCACAAGATCGCGGAGCGCTCGATTGCGTCGTACCTACCGCGGTCGCCGGCGAACGACTACAAGATAATCATTTGTCCGAAGTGCGGGCTGGCGCTCACAAAAGTTCCGAACACCAGGCTCAGTGAGGCGGTGGCAGCGCAAATTCCGTGGATTAAAGGACAAGAAAAGGAAGTGCTCATTGTTAACGACAAGCAAGGTACCCTGATTTTCAGCACTCCAGACATAGACACTGTCTGGAAGGTGACACCAGGATTAAGTCTATCAAGATTGAAGGCATGAACTACGACGTCACGGCGTACCTCGCGCCGCACGAGGATAGCGGGCGGGGTGTGGTGCGCGGCGTCGACCCAAGATTTTCGGTAGAGGAACTGACAGAGGCTTTCGGCAACTCAAGGAACCCGCCGATACTTGGTGTTAGGAAGCTGGGGAACTCAAGTTCAGCGGTCATCATCTTCAAAAATGAGACAGTGCCCAGGTGGATGTACTGTTACGGCGTACCGCTGAAGTGCGTGCTTTATAAGAAACGATACGAGGTGTGCTACCGATGTGGCCAGCTAAGACACAGATCGGACGTGTGTATCAGCGACCATGTTCGCTGCCGGGGATGCGGAATGACAGCTTCACCCGAGGACCACGCATGTGAGCCCAAGTGTAAGCTGTCTGGCAAAGGTCATCTAACAGCAGATCGGAAATGCAAGGAAGCTTTCAGGACCCTTATACAATAAAGAAGAGACAGTGGGAGGCCTGGTGGTGAATGGAAGGAGAAGAGCGGAAGGCGAAAGACGCCGATCCACAAACGTGCAGAATGGAAGAGATCAAAGAACGGTCCAGGAGCCGGTCGAAGCATCGGAGAGGGTCAAGAGGAAGAGCAGGTTCCTTCCCAAGACTACCGGAAAGACAAGAAGGAGAGCTGCCACCAGTGACTGGTCCAGTGAACAAGGGGACTTTCGGCAGTGCTGTCCTCAACAGTGGGAGACCCACGTCGCTGAACCGCAAGGTGGGTTGGGGAGATAGGGCCTCCCAGGATAAACGCGATGAAGAAATGTTAACCATTAAGAAAGAAAATCGCATGCTTAAAGAGCAGCTAGCAATGATGAGTCGGCAAATAGAGAAGCTTCAAATAGCTATTAAGTCGTCTATCACAACACCGGTTTCCCTACCACGAATGCCACAGAGTCAAAATATAGAAAGTACGGAGGAGCAGAGCACTACTCTGCCTCCAGCGAAAAAGAGGGCAAAAGAAGCGGAAAAGCTCGTAATAGATGAGAATGTAGAGACAGTGATAGACATGAAAATAGCACAACTGGAGGCAAACATTGAAGCCAAATCTACACAGGACGATGAATGGCGTAAAGCCTTCGAGAAAGGAATGTTCGAGATGTTTCAAAATCTGACACAGCAGTTGCATCAGCGGGATAATAAACTAACCGAGGAACTTAAAACGGAATTCGCGAAGAGGGATCGGGCGTATGAACAGCTCGCTCAAGAAGTATTAGGCAGGCCGATGAATCACCTTAGTGGCAATCATGGCTCACACTCACAGATTCAGTAAGAACACCGTTTGGCAATGGAACTGCAGAGGCTTCACGCGCAAGCGTGTGGTTCTGCAGGAATTCCTGAGGAAAGGAGATCGACCGGATGTTACAGCTTTAAAGAAATGTGGGAGAAAGGCGACATTGCCAAGTTATAAATTCTATGTAAGCGAAGGCACGAGTACGCAGGTGGCCACCCTGGTCAGGCGAAACGTTACGGCGGTGCAGCATGACATTGGTAATGCACACATCGACCATGTTCTCATAGAACTAATACCGCAAAAAAAGAAAAGCGCTAGCTTGTTCGTATTAAATATATACAGCTCTCCCAGACAAAGGCGATGTGACTTTGGGGTCTCTTCGCTTCTACGCGACGCAAGAGTAGGAACAACCCATTGCTGATCGTCGGTGACTTTAACGCTCACCACACGGCATGGGGATATAAGCAGGCTTCAATTAAGGGCAGGAAATTGTGGGATTACATGCAAACTCATAATCTGGATTTAATAACCGACCCGTTGCAGCCAACGAGGAAGGGAAATAGTGTCGCGGTTGACACCACACCCGACCTTACTCTGACGGGGAGCGGCACTAGTGCCACGTGGTGCAACACAAACGAGGACCTAGGCAGTGATCACATGATCATAGAAATAGTGGTAGAGGGAGTCCCGGCAACACCTCGGAAACGAAGGGTAGAGGCCGTAAATTGGGACTCTTTCAGGGACCTCAGGGGCGACCCGACTCCCATTTCCGACATTGCCGAGTGGTGCGATGGGGTGTTACGTACTGTTAAGGAAGCAACTGAAGTGGTGGAAACCGAGGAGGACAACGAAGTGGTAGACACGAGATTAGTAAATCTTTGGAAGAAAAAGAAAGCTTTGGAAAACCGACTCCAACAGAGGAGATGGGATCGAAGTATCAGGAAACAAATAGCGGCTTTAAACAGGCGAATTGAAGAGCACGCCATCATGCTCACGAAGCAAAGGTGGGGGAACGTCTGTCAGGAGATGGATAGGAATATAAGTACGTCCGGGACGTGGCGACTTCTTCGTCACCTTTTAGATCCGAAGAGCACGAAGACAGCGTCTAAACAGCAATTGAAACGGATGGCGCACCAATTTGAAGGCACAAGGAAGGAACTCTTAGAAGAAGTTCGGAGCAGATACATTAATCCCGCCGGATCCGAATCTCTCCCAGATTATGGAGGACGGGAAAACGCAGCCTTAGATGCCCCTATCTCCCTGGCTGAGGTGCGAGCGGAGATTAATCGGCTAAGGACTAGATCAGCGGCAGGGCCGGACAGAGTGACCAACAAAATGCTCCGTAATTTAGACGATAGGTCCATCGCTAACCTAGCAACGTACATGCAGGAGTGTTGGGAAAAAGGGACGATACCGTAGGAGTGGAAACTCGCAAATGTAATTTTCATTCCTAAACCGGGTAAAAAACTTCATTTCGAGAATCTTAGGCCGATATCGTTAACGTCTTGCGTAGGTAAGCTCATGGAGCATGTTGTTCAGACACGGCTCAATAGGTACATGGAAGACAATGGTATGTATCCGGACACCATGATCGGTTTTCGACCTCGACTATCAGTGTGCAACGTGATGCTACAGCTCAAGGACCAAATTATAGACAAGCCAACGCGAGACACAAATGTTATCGTGGGGTTAGATGTGGCAAAAGCATTTGACAACGTGAGGCACGTATCGATCTTGGAGAATCTGAGCTCCCTGAACGTCGGAAAGCGAGTTTATGACTACGTCAAGGACTTCCTTTCGAACAGGACAGCCACTTTAAAAATCGGGGAAGAATCCATCGAGGACATTAAATTAAGCAACAGGGGGACACCTCAGGGCTCGGTGTTATCACCCACCCTTTTCAACATTGTGATGTTGAAACTGCCTGAACAGTTAAAGGATGTTGAGAATTTAAATCGCACCATTTACGCGGATGACATAACATTATGGATGAACAAGGGCAGTGACGGCCAAATTGAAGGCTCTCTGCAAATCGCCATTGATAAAATCGTGGAGTACCTGGAGCCCAAAGGACTTAAATGCTCGGCCGAAAAGTCTGAAGCACTCTTCCTCATGCCCGCCGAAAAACGGCGGCGGAGCCCAAAGGACTTAAATGCTCGGCCGAAAAGTCGGAAGCACTCATCCTCATGCCCGCCGAAAAACGGCGGCTCCACAACAGGCCTGAAGTGGACATCCACTTGTATGTTAACGGCGCAGAGATCCCCGCGGTCGACAATATCCGTGTCCTTGGACTAAGGATTCAG